AACTGGGGGCCTCTTGGAGGTCATCTGCCATTCACTGCCACATGGCTCTCTCCAAGACATGGCAGCTGCCCGTCATGGCCAAGAGGAGAATGTCTCTGCTGCTTTGATCTCTGATTTCCTCAGTCCCTGATCTCTAGACCCAGATTCAAGGGGCTTGTGTGATGAGGTCAGGGCTGCTCAGACAATCTCCCCTTGACTAACCCCAGATCAACTCCTAGTAATATTAATTATACCCTTAAAAGTCCTTTTGCCATATAGCATAGTTCTGGTAGTGATATTTCATGATATTCACTAGTTTCACTCAAAACCCATTCACAAAATAGGTGGAGGGTTTTAATAATATAATACAATATAATATATATATAATTATATATTATAATATTATATTAATATTATTTATTAATGCATATTATATTTTGTTAAGATTTTATATACATATATGCATCAGGTTAAGTTGGTTAATAGTTTTAGAGTGTTTTATTTTCTTCTGGATTTTCTGTCTAGTTTTTCTATCAGTGATTGAGGATAAAATATTAAAAGCCAATATTGCTGAATTCTCCTTTCAATTCTATCAGTTTTTGCTTCCTATATTTGGGGAGCTCTGCTATTAAGTACACATTTATTTAAACTTATTTCTTCCTGCTCTGTTGACCCTTTTATCATTATAAAATATCCCTCTTTCTCTCTAACAATGTCTCATATTAAGTATATTTTATTTCATATGAATATAGCCACTCCAGCACCCTTATGGTTATGGTTTGTGTCTTCTTTTTTAAGATTTTATTTATTTATTTATTTGACAGAGAGATAGAGAGCACAAGTAAGCAGAGTGGCAAGCAGAGGGAGATGGAGAAGCAGGCTCTCTGCTGAGCAGGAGCCAGACGTGGGGCTCAATCCCAGGACCCCAGGACCCCAGGATCATGACCTGAACCGAAGGCAGCCGCTTAACCGACTGAGCCACCCAGGCGCCCCCGTGTCTTTTTTTTTTTATTAACATATAATGTATTATCTGTTTCAGCAGTACAGGTCTGTGATTCATCAGTCTTACACAATTCACAGCACTCACCATAGCACATACCCTCCCCAGTGTCCATCACCCAGCCACCCCATCCCTCCCACCCCCCACCACTCCAGCAACCCTCAGTTTGTTTCCTGAGATTAAGAGTCTCCTATGGTTTGTCTCCCTCTCTGGTTTCATCTTGTTTCATTTTTTCCCTCCCTTCCCCTATGATCTTCTGGCTTGTTTCTCAAGTTCCTCATATCAGTGAGACCATATGATAATTGTCTTTCTCTGATTGACTTATTTCACTCAGCATAATACCCTCTAGTTCCAACCACATCATTGCAAATGGCAAGATTTCATTTTTTGATGGCTGCATAATATTCCATTGTGTATATATACCACCTCTTCTTTATCCATCCATCTGTTGATGCACATCTAGCTCTTTCCATAGTTTGGCTATTGTGGACATTGCTGCTATAAACATTGGGGTGCACATACCCATTTGGATCACTACATTTGTATCTTTGGGGTAAATACCCAGTAGTGCTATTGCTGGGTCATAGGGTAGCTCTATTTTCAACTGTTTGAGGAACTTCCCTACTGTTTTCCAGAGTGGTTGCACCACCTTGCCTTCCCACCAACAGTGTAGGAGGGTTCCCCTTTCTCCACATCCCCGCCAGCATCGGTCGTTTCCTGACTTGTTAATTTTAGCCATTCTGACTGGTGTGAGGTGGTATCTCATTGAGGTTTTGATTTGGATTTCCCTGATGCCGAGTGATGTTGAGCAATTTTTCACGTGTCTGTTGGCCATTTGGATGTCTTCTTTCCAGAAATGTCTGTTCACATCTTCTGCCCATTTCTTGATTGGATTATTTGTTCTTTGGGTGTTGAGTTTGACAACTTCTTTATAGATTTTGGATACCAGCCTTTTATCTGATATGTCATTTGTAGATGCAAATAATAAAAATTTCTGAACGATGCATTGTCCCCCCTCACTGATGACATGTGCAGACAAGTTTGCGGGTATGATTTCATGCTGTCAAATTAGCTGCCTGCAGGGAAATTCTCAGGGATACTGAATTATTACTCTGGCCTGTCTTTTCTATTCATTTGGGAGGAAAGTGTTTCTCTTAATCACCACTGGATGTCAGTAGAGTTGCATGTGGCAGAAGCTCTGAACTGGTCCGTTACTTAAAAAAAGATAAATAAAAAATAAAATAAAATAAAATCTTCCTTTGTAGCAAAGGGATGAGAAAATAAATGAATATGGTCTAAGATTCTCTATTTAAAGTACTATACAGACTCTCTTGAAGAAACGAAGGATTTTATGAGATTAATCAGTTTCCAAATCCCAGAGGTAGATTGAGATTAAAACTGATTAGAGGATCAAGTTGGTGTAGGGGAGTTGGAGGAGAGATGAAAGAAAATAGAAAATAAAACTCAAGTTAACTGAGTATTTTCTATGTGCTAGATATAATGGTAAGCACTTCACACGTGTTTTCAATATATCTTCATATCTCAAGGTAGAGAGCAGTCTCATTGCACTCATGCTAGAGGGGCCTTGCTACTCAGCAGTTATGTTGAACCTCTGATGAGAACTGACTTTGAGTGTTGCCTAAAGAGCTGCCCACCTTTTCTGAGAAAGGAGTCAAAGCTAGGAGAGGCCCAGGAGGAGCTCTAGCACTAGACATTGTACTGGTTAATCATGATGGAAATGGTGGACACAGTGGAGTCAACCAGCTGTGTGTGGAAAGAGAGTGGCCCCATGTAGTTGACAGCCCCACTGGGAAAGTTTCCATTGGGGTGTTCTCGAAGGAAGGAATCATTCTCTCTCTCTTTCTCTCTCTCTCACACACACATATCCCCTACATTCTTTTAGGCAGAGAAGTGTGTTTTTTATTCTGTGCTCAAATAACACTTAGTGCCCTGTATGGTGCTTCTGTACCTTTACTGTCATCAGTTTTCCCCAATTGGTTACGAATTCCCTGAAGCCAAGGAGTGTATCTTATTCACCTTTGTAACTCTGGCATCCAGCATAGTGTCTGGTACCCCCAAAGTTCCCATAAATGTTGAATATCCATAATAAGCAAATAAATAAGAGAAATGGTGTACATATGTGTGCGTAGGGAGGAAGGACAGAAGAAAGGGAGAAGACAATGAGGAGAGAGTTTGAAGAAAGAGCTGAAAGCGAAAAGCAAAATTCTACTCTCAGAATGAAAAAAATAGAATGGGGAAACTGGGCATCAGATCTGACACAGTGGGTATGACCCCTGACATAGTGGGTCAGGGCAGGGAAAACATGAGACAATCTTTCAAAGAAATGGAGCTTATATAAAATTAGGAGAAGTCTTGAAAGACCAGCGTGTGTGTGTGTGTGTGTGTGTGTGTGTGTGTGTGTGTGTGTGTGTG